TATTCCTTGGCTGTCAGTTCATATTAAAGAATGAATCACTAAAAAGTTGACTGGAAGTACTGAATAAAAGACTTGAAGAGTGGTGGGCTTCACTAGTGACTGAGTGATCAGGTGGCTAGCTTTTTTTTTTTTTTTAATTACAGCTATAGTATCTGTAGTTATTTTCCCTGGGGACAGCTCTGATTCTTTTGATCTCTTTGATTGAGAACATGATTCCAGCTTCTGAAGTTCTGGAAGTAAGGGCAAATGGGGGGCGAGGGGGAAGAGATCCATCATTCAGTGTGCAGATTCTCACTGAGTTCTTGTTTTCAGGACAGCTCATCACCCTTGCCCTCCTCTGTGGCGAGCATCTCTGGCTCAGTTTCCTCATAGAATAAACTTCTAGTTCCTTGCAGGAGTCAGGGAGTGCACACAAGATGGAGGTAGGTTTCTGGGTCTCTAAATATTTTTTAATTAAACATGATTTCAGCTCTTCCTTATCCCCTTCCTCTGAGGTTTTTGGTATCCTGAATTCTTGATGTTTCCTCAGATTCGATGAGAGCAAAGTGACTTGCTTCCTGATAGTCACTTCCCCTCCTCATGCATTTAAGTTTGATCTTCCTCTTTTCTACTCAATAATTTACCATTTTTCTTCAGTCTGCTTTCTGCCTTCATTTATTATGGTTCAAATTACAGAATCTTCAATGTGGTTCATCAAAGATGGAGGATGAGTCTTCTGGTTTTTGTTCTCCTTGTTATTTGCGGGGTCTGATCTTTCTTGGAGAGAAGGGGTTTGAAATACCTCTGTCTGCTGTCTTCACGTGGGAAATCCTCCATTTTTGCCTTAATGATTTTTCAAAATTATGTCTGAGACTATACTTCCTCAAGTTTCTTTTCTTTTAAAAGAAGGATTATATAAATTACTCATCAAAGGTGTTACTGAATTACATTGTATAATTGCATATTTATTGCATTGTATACAATTACATTGTATAATTATATACTAACATACATAACTAGAAATGAGCTTGTCATTAAGCACTCAGCACTGATAAACCACAAACAATCATATTAAAAATTGTTATGGGTGAGATAGAAAAAGATAAATACATAACTCAAAAATAAACTGTTTTCAGATTTGGATATATATTGACAATATAGAAAATATTAACCAATACTGTTAGAAATCAGTACCTTATCACCTAGTTCAGAAGACTCTGTTACTGTTGGAATTACCCAGCTAAAACATTTTGCTAGGCAAGCTATTTAGCACTGATACAGTTTTTGTTTTTTTAATACAGTGTGTTTTTCCATAGTCATGGTCCTTTCTGCAATATTGTTTGAGAACGTGCATATTAATATACATTGTAAGTTAGGACTTAAAAAGCATAATCTTGTCAGTTTTCACAATAATGAAAATTATTTAACTTGCATTAGACCAGGAATTAATAGACCTCTTTTTAAAAAAAAGCCTTAAAAATCCATTTGTGAAGAAATTTTTTGTAAGTGTCCCTTTAAGGGTTGGTAATCTATACATACTGTCTTAGTTTGGGCTGTTATTAAAAAAAAAAAAAATCACCATACTGTGGGTGGCTTGAACAGCAGACATTTATTTCTCACAGTGCTGGAGACTGAGAAGTCTGAGATCAGGCTGCTGGCAGATCTAATGTCTAGTGAGGACCCCTTCCTGGCTTACAGATAGAGAGCTAGGAGAGGAAGCAAGCTCTCTCTTCTTACAAGGGCACCAATTCCATTTCAGGAGGGCTCCACCTTCACGACCTAATTCCCTCCCAGGGGCCCCACCTCCTAATTCCGTGACATTAAGGTTTAGGAATTCAACATATGAATTTTTTGAAAGAGGACACAAACATTCAACCCATAACATATACTTAGTTCTGGGTCATACAGCTACATATATTGAAACCGGGAGGGAAAAATACCTTCTTGGATGTTTCTTACTTTTGAAAACACTTTTATATTTTGCTCAGGACACTAATAGTCATTATAACCAAAATCAGAATGAGCCAATAACAAGGTATTTCTATAATAACTACTTGTTTTGAAAGAAAAAAATATATTTTATATGTTCAGAATTCTTTTAGATACCCTGTAATAATCCTTAGGGACAATTAGCCTTTCTTGGCTAAATAAACTATCTGTCTATCTCTATGAAATATTAAACACATACTTATTCTTCTATCTTTATTGCTTACCTTATCACAAATATAAAAGTAACATGTTAAATTTGAGGTATTTTGAAAATATGGAAAATAATAAAGAAAAAATATTATTACAGTGTATAGAGATAGCTACCTTTAAAAAAATCCATATTAGCATATTTCTCCCATCCTTTTTAAATGCAGAAATCACACTGCACACAGTAAAAGGAGGCCCAATTTACTGGGTACTTCTTAAATGGCAGACAACTTGCTAAGTGCTTCACATACATTGTATCAATATCCTATGAGCCAGGTGTTTTATGCCTAATCTGTATATGGAAAAATTGAGGATTAGTGATTTAAATAAGTTGCCCAGAGCCATACAGCTAGTAATTGGCCACACTGAGATTTTGGCACAAGGTTGCCCAATGTTAAAGTCCATATTCTTTACTATTATGTTTCTTTTCTTTACCATTATAACTAATTTTCCATGTCATTAATAAATCACTGCCAATATCATGTAAAGTAAAAAATGTAAAATTCCTGTACGATTAGGCTTGTCTCACGGAAGCTCTGCAGTCAATGAGTAATAATATATATATTTTTAATTTAATTAAATGGCAAAATTTAAGAGCAAAAATGGAATATCATTGTATAGAGACTTTGAATGTTTTTATAAGCTTATTAGGCATTTGTATTTCTAAAGATATATATTTCTCAAATAAGGACAATGTAAACCAGAAACTACAAGATGACTCTTTGGAACAAACACAGTATTATTACCTCACTGATTCTGGTTATATTGGGGAGGTACAGTAGTAGATGGACATGTTGGAAGACCTAATTAAAAGATCTGAAAATATCTAGATTTGTTCTCTTTCCTCATTTCAGATTAAACTAGTTTAACAAAGTTAGAAAATCAATTCATTTTTGCCTGCTATGGGTTGTATTAATGGAGGTAAGACTAATGATTAGTATTTTAATTCTGATATATATAAATGATTTGCTTAATGTTCCTAAAGATAGTTGATTCTAAGACTTTAAAATTCTCTCCTTAAAATCTGGTTTACATCATTATTTTTATATCTAAAGAAAAATAGTAAAAGAAAAAGGTATTTACTAAGCAAAGATAGATGCTAACTAAATCCTTATTTGAAATATCACAAAATCACGGATTAATGCAGCTTTAATGCATTTCCAATACTTAGTTATTCTGATTTCCTCTCTGGCTACACTACTTTCACTGTAATCTATTTAATACAAGAGTTGAAGCCACTGGTGCATTCAGTTTGATTTATCTAGTGACAAATACCTCAATTATCCTCCTAGGGAAAATTATTTTCTTGAGAGTAAATCTAATTTTGGTTTAATCCTCCAAGTAATTTTAATTCATTCTCTCTGTATCTTGACAAAAGTAATTATGAAAGAAAAAAGCCATTATGAATATACTATTATGAAATGTAGAGAAAGTATCACATCAAAAAAGACATACACATTTTCAGTTGGTGTTAGTGAATTATGACTTTGGAAGTTACAAGAATATGCCAGAATGATTTAGCACCTATAAACCACAGAAGGGTAAAGAGATGTATGGCTGAGAAGATGGGAATTTTGTGATTTGAGAGGTGAGTAAATGGGCTGCAATATCTTGCCACCTTAGTCTGCATGGTGTACTGGTAATATGGGCATTGACTTAATGGCTCATTGGCTTAATGGCTCATTTCTTAATGGAGAAGCTTTAAACTTTATGTCAACATTTATGTAAAATTTAAGTTGCACATAAATATATAGTTAATTTGAATTTGCTGTTTCAGATGTCTGCAATTTCCTTATTAACAGTTTACTTCTCTTCGTATAGGCTTGGCTTGAGATAACCAATCTAGATCATGTCTACAAAGGAAACAAATTGTATTCATTTTCACTGTAAAAGATAACACAAACCCCACAAATTTCCAGTAGTCGATATTAAGAAATGAACATCACTGGACAAAAATCATAAAACTACAAAAGTCTGAGATTCTGACAATGAAGAAGAGTTCCAGCTAGACCAGCCTATCATGTATGTTTTGTGAACACATACAGTTGGAAATGCAGATTAGCACAACCTTCCTACAAAGTGATTTGGCAAATGTATCAAAATCTTAAACAAGGCATAAGATATCCATCATAGTAATAATTACACATTATAACAACATGAAAAAAAATGATCAGTGAGTAGGGGAAAGATTTATGATAATGTTAAGTTAAAGCAAGATCTATATAGTATGATGTAAACGATGTTAACATATGTGTGAATATGCATTTGTATGTGTGCATAAATATATAAAGACCAAAGGTTTTTGACATTATTCATTTCTCAGTAGTGGAAATACTGGTGATTCTTCTTTGTATTATTATGTATTTTCTATATTGAGCATATGGTCCTTTAAAAATAAGAAAAAATTCTTTAAAACAAATACAAGGAATAACAGCCACATTTCTCTGTTTTTCTTTTCTTTCATTATCTTTTAAAAATGTAAAATAAACCAAGGAAGGTCATTGTTATTAGAATTCATTCGTTCATTCAATTGAGAACTATTTCCAAGCACTTGCTATATGTCAAACATGGTTTTAGGCACCAGGCATTCTGCAAGTGAGGAAAATAAAACTCGTGTCTGGGAGAGGAACAAATGTTACCTCTATCACGTAATGGTGAAGTGCTATGAATGAAATACTATTCATTAATATGCTATACTTTTAGAGATAGAAAACAAAAGTTATAAACTTATTTAGCAAAGAATATAAAAGTCTCTCCTTTAATTAATCTAAGGCATATAATTTTTCTTAATTAATTAAAGAAATTGAAATTGTTTGATTACTTACCCCAATATTAAACATCCCTGTAAAATACTCCATATTTGCTTGAATGAACCAAATGTTGCTTAAACCTAGTTCATCACTTCTCTTCTTAGCACGAATTAATGATAATTCCTTGTTTTCTATTAATGTAACCTAGATTTCACCCAGGAAACAATAGTACATTCAGTAACATAATTCAGATATTAGGGCAAAGTATTATTACTGTATAGCTTTAATGTAGAACATACTACACTGATCCTTATCCTGTGCTAGGAAGTATGCCAGATAATGTGGTATAAAAATGAACAAGGTCCTTGAACTCTTGGAGCTTAGAGAGGGAGTGATGTAAGTGCAACAGGCAATTATAATACAGTGATAAGTGTTTAATGGAAGACATTGTGTGTTATCAGAACACTCAGACTTGATGACTAAAGAAGGTTTTAGTCATTTAACATGGAGAATAACATACTAACCGAGGCCTAAAAAATGAATAGAAATCAGCTGGAGGAATGAAGGAGTGTTTCAGACAGAGAAAGAAACATGTGTGAAGGCCAAAGAGTGTGTTTGAAGAACTGAGAAAATTGGTGTAGCTGGGTCACAGTGTGTGGTGGTGATGGTGAATGTGGGGGCAGGGTGTGGAGGGTAGACGTGAGGCTGGAGAGGTGATAGGAGCCAGATCGTGTGATCAAAGAAGGTCCCAGTGCTGCCATGGATAGTATGGATTAGTGGGGGTGAGACAGAAGGAAGGGCAACCAGTTAGGAATCCAGGCCAACGAAGACTGGAAAGGATTACTTGTTTAGAAAGAGAAAAGTGGGCGGAATTGTCACTTTCATCACTATCATTCCTAGTTCTACCCTTATTTTGTCTTTATGCTTGTGTTTACAGAAAAAAATCTGTATGCCTTCGTATAAAAAACCTGTCAGAGTACACTTGGTATCAAAGGCTTTCCAGCCATTATTCTAGCCAAGATTTCCCCTTTAAAGGCTCAACATCTCTAAGTGTCCAGACTGTTGGGAAGGGGGGGGGGAAAGACACCATAACCCTAACTCTGCGTCTCCAGGGTTCTACTTTATGAGCTTGCTTCCTCTAACTCCAACCACCAAGTTGTTACTTTCCTTGATTACAAAACAGACACTTGCTAGCTTCCCCCAGGATTCCTTACTTATTTTGCCCTTTATTTTCAAAGAAAGGAAAAAAATAATACACCCTTACCCCCCAGCATCCTGTTATATGTCATTCTGGCCAGTCTATGGGTTCTTCCTCATCTTTTTCTTCTATAAGGAATCACTGTAATTATTTTGCACCTTCCAGAGAGTCCACGAGCAAAGAAACTGCCTCATTTGTTTTGTATTTTTTTTAAAAAGTCATCAAATTCTAGACTTTTACGCTAAAAGATGGTCACTGCAAAGACATGATTTCATATGGCAGAAGACTAAAAATAAACTTCTAACAAATGGTGGCAATGACTGCATAAATTCTGGTACATTTACTTAAAAACATAAAATGTAGTTAGATTTTGGTGATATTTTAATAATGATATTTAAAAGTATTTGCAATAGGGAAAAACAGTTATGCTACAATACTGAGTTAAAGCTGGTGACTAAAATTATATTTGCGTTTTTAGCATTTGCGGCAATAAGCATCCTCCTGAACAATGACTTAATGAGAACATGGGGAGAAAAGCATTTGATGGATGAGTGTGGTAAATTTGGAGTTTATTTTTTTCTTTAAGGAATTTTGTAATTGCTGTTACAATTTTGGTACAATGGATAAAAATCAAGATACCAAAAGAATATGCTCAACAAGTTTCAGGAGCTAGTATTTCCAGTATAAAATTCTGGGGACAATTAAACTAGTTTCACCACTAAGTATTTTATTTAACAACAGAATAGTTATTCCCTCTAAAACTTATTTTAAAATATAACCCTTTTATAAAAATTGAAAAATGTATTGTGATCCTACTTTACTTTTTTTAAAGATTTTTAGAAGTTTAGTTCAAAGAAAAAAAAAAAACTATCTGTGCCACATAATGTGACCTGAGTGAACAATTAATAAATTCAAAGAGCAGGGGTCAGACACAGACTCAGCGAACTGAACTGGATAGTTTTCCAGTGTTTCCTATTATGGGTTATTCAGATTTTACCTGGCACGATGGCAGCATGTGAGCAAGGACAATTCCAACATGGCCCTGGAAAAGGCAGAAAAAGAAACAAGTTAACTTTGGTCCCTAAGGCTTTTTTCTCATTCTGAGACAGTAGTCTTGCCAAATAAAAACATGAATTTGAATGTAATACAGTAAAGTCACATAGTCGGGGAAAGGCTAAAGAGAACAAAAGGAGGGATGTAATACCCCACCGCTGCAGAAATCCACAATTCTGTCACCAGGTTTGGCCTGATTTGCCACGACATAAACAAGGTTGTTTAACTGCTGCTGCTTCCTCAAAGCTCGATCACTGGACATTTTACCTGGGGAAGACAAGAGATGAAGACAATGAAATATTAGGCATCGTGGGGGAATAAGAAGGTACTCATAGAGTAGACCACCGGCATCCAGCAAGAGGGGTAAATGTGTAAATGAGTTCCAAATTCCACATCATCCACCATGAGAGGGACAGAGAACTGAAACCCAGAAATGAACTCTCTCTATGCTTATTTTTAGTTTTATTCATGTCCAACTTCTCTGTCAATAGCCATTGAAAAATGTCTTCTAGAGAGGAAACAATAAGTGAAATATTAATGGCAGAGTCATAAAGTGTTCAATAAATGTTTACTTGGTTGGATAAAAATTAACAGTAACAGTTCCTTCCCTCCATCCCTATCAGAGACAGATTGCAAAGACTACCTAATTTTAGCACATTGTTTAAATCTCCTTGGACAAAAGAGATCCATAACAAAAACATTTTCATTACTTAACTGGCACGCCCTTGAACTCTTAGTTTTTCTGGTTACGAATGTTGGAACATAGGTGTCACATTGTCTGAAATATATCAATAGTTAGTGTATTTAGAGAGAAATTAGATTTTACCATTTTGGCTTTGAAGCTTCTTTTCGTCATGAGTCAGACACAGAAATCTAATGCAATTAGAGATTAAAGATAGGGCATTTCCACGTATGAAATGCCTTGGGCCTAGCAGCATGAACATCTTAACTTTCCTTCAAAGCCACTAGTTAAATCCACGAAATAACTTCAGAAGAATGAATACAATTATTTGTTTTTACATATTTCACATGCAGCTTTTGTAAGAGCAAGATTAAGAAAATATAAGGGAGCAGATCTCATTGATATAGATAAAAGGCAAATCCAGATAATCTCTTGGCTTGATCAAAAATTATTTACAGTTACCAACGTTTCCCTGCTCCATTTTCACAGAAAAATAGCCTGGCTTTTTTCTTTTCTTCTCTTTTCTGTTTTCCTTCTTTCTTAGGTTACTGTAATAAAAACACTGGAAACCGTTTATTTTAGGAAAAAATAGAAAATATGAATAAAAAAATCTATATGAGAGAAAAAGATCCATAATCTAATAATTCAGAGCTAGTATCTTTGTATATGTATACTTCCAGCTGTATCCATAAATTCATAATGTTCTAGATGCATATAAAACCTTGTATATCAATCTTTCCATGTCAATGCATGTTTCTATGCTGTAAGTTTTAATGGCTGCATAGTATTCCATTGACCATATCTACCACACTTCTATAACAATCTATTGTAATAATGTGGTCGTCATCATACAGCTGAATCACTGTACACATTCTTAATTATTTAGCATGGCCTAATGTGAATTTCAAACCTCAAGGGCATTTAAATCAATAGTTTGGTGACTTCATTTATGAAGACTGTTTCATGTAGCTAGCTTTCCACTTTTCTCTAATAATATAATTGTGAAAAATTTAAACAAAATAAGTAAAAGCCCCCGTCATCCTACTAGGACAATTTTCAACACAGCAAAGTTGAAAGAATCTTACAGTGAATGTCTCTGACCTCCACTTAGATTCTACCACTACCAACTTACCATACTTGGTTTAATCACACTTCTGTTCATCTAACCATCTGTCTATCCATCCATTCATAAATCTGCCTTATTTTTTATGGCAATGCAATTCTGATTTGGAAGAGGAAGAGTAACAACAGGAAGGGGAGGAGAGTGGCAAAAAAAGAAAAGTATTTTTGAGCCCTGTCGGAAAGCTAGAGTCACAAATGCTGCTGCTTAATGGAGCCACCAAGAGGCAAGAAATGAACACAAACATTTTAGTCTTCCTTTTGTGGATTTCTTAACATTGCTTAGCCAAAGGATTTTCATAAAGTCAAAAGGAATTACCTTTTGTTAAGAATATGGAGAAAAGAAAATTTATTTAATGGAACAACTAGCTGGAAGTTTTGTACCATATTTCTATTACACATTTAGAATTATCTAACTTTCTTAGGTTTGCTTCAAAAGCAAATGTTGATGAAGATCTGTTTTTCTAAGATTGCATCTTTGCATATAAAGAATTCATGCTGATATGAAGGTTGAAGGCAAAGGTAATTTTCAGGGTTTGCTTAAATATACACCATTAAGTTCCACATAATATTCACAAATCAAGCTAAAAATATAGTAGCATGATGCTCAGAGGCTTTATGGAAAATCCACCTCAAATAAAGCATTCCTCCTCCCATTCCAGTTATGTAAATATTATGAAGCTCCTGGAAACATGAACAGGATCTCAAACACATTGAACAAAGTAAGAAAGTGGTATTTTGAGATATGGTATTAATTTAAAAATCCAGTCTACTTTCTATTTATATCCAACATTCTTCCGCCTAAGACACCACTTATAAGCATGAATTTACAATCTATTTTTAGTTTGACTAAAAATGCTGGTTCTTTAAGTGCTATCATAGAAAAAGAAACCCAAGAATTAAATGGTCAGATGTTTTAATACAAATGATTTCATTCTTTCTGTGATGTAATTCTCCCACAGTGAAGTCTTTCCCTTGTCTAATTCAAGTTAGGAGGAACCTGATTATTTAGACAACTTCAATGTTGTTTGCATTGCCCAAAAGGAAAATACAAAGGTAAAGGAATAAATTTTTAAGCAAAGGAAGAGCTATGTTAGAACATCGGCATCATTTATGTTCTATAGGGCAATAGACAGTGAAACGCAGGTCCCATCCCCAGGGTACCTACAGTTTTCATGCTTGGAATATCACTTGGGCACCTACTATGCTCAGTACCCGTCTATATGCTGAGGACACATCTCAAAGTGAGTAAAACATAGTTCCTGTCCTTAGGGAGCTAAGAGAGTATCTAAAGGAAGTTACGGGTGTTCGTTATTTGTAAACGTTATGTGCGCTGAAAATAAAGAACTAAATGAGACATCACAGAGGGCTTTACAGAGATTTGAGGCATTTCAGTTGAAGAGAAACTTACCAGACAGAATGGCAAGGGAAAGCATACTAAGAACAATATGACATATTTAGGGGAAAACCACAATTAGCTCATGTGCTTAAAAATGAGGATAGATGAAGAAATGATAGAATACAAGATAGATCTGAGGATATAGGCAAGACCAGATGGGAAAGAGCATTGCTTGTTATTTTGCCTCTCTCTGCTATAGAGAAACCAGGGCCTCATTTTAATAGTTAATGTGCTTCGAGCTCCTTAGACTCAAGTTTTACTTGAATAGACTGCACAGTTATTTTTACATTATTACATATTAAAGACGTTCTCTTATAATGCTAGCCTGCATCCTTTTTATTCAGGATAGAGTATATCCTCAAATCAAATCAGATTATTAATAGATTTCTCTGGCACATTCAACCTCAAATGATGCTAATTATCATTATGTCATTTAATTAAGAAAATGAAATAGAATCAACTCTTTGGAACTCATGGACTCATTTGGAACTCATTTGAACCCTGGTGTTCTAGATCAAGAAAGTCCTTGGGCTCCTTATTGGATATTCCTTCTCACTCCTTCCCAGGCTCTCTTCCCTTGGTATAGCTCTGAAATGCTATGCTCACTAGGTCCTGTCTTTTGTGGCATAGCCTGTCATTGAGCATGCTTTTCCTGTGTATATAACTAAAGTCCCTTCCATATCTGCCCATTAAAATATCTCCTCTTTGCTTAAAATACCTTTAAAGGCATCTCTCTGCCTTAAGAAAACAATTTTTACTTCTTGGCAAGAAAACAAGGCCTCTACTGACCTGAGACCTGTTACTTTGGCAAACTCACCTTCTGGAACTTTCCTATGTATCCTCTATATTCTAGCCTTTCTGACAATGGAGATAGTTCCCTGAATTTATCAAGGTCAGTGAGGTGGTGCCTTTATACATTTGTTCCCTCTGCTTGAAACCAATTTTCTTGTTTTAGAGAACCTCAGGAACCCTACCAGCTTTCCACTCTCCTGACTACATTTACATTTAGTATTTTGTAATAAATTTTTTAAAAAGACAAAGAAAAGGTAACTTTTTCAAACCCTTTGGTACAACCCAAAAGAACTCATCTTTTATACTATAAAGCATTAGTATTGTTAGGTAGTGAAAAAATTTTCTTATTATACACTTCTGGGTATTTATCTGAAGAAAATGAAAACACTAACTCAAAAAGATATCTGTACCCCTATGTACATTGCAGTTTTATTTACAATAGCCAAGGTATGGAGACCACCTAAGTGTCCATCGACGGGTGATGGATAAAATGTATACAGATATACAATTGAATATTATTCAGCTATACAAAAGAATGAAGTCTTGCCATTTGAGACAACACGGATGGACCTTGAGGGCGTTTGCTAAATGAAATAAGTCAGACAAGTACCGTATGATCTCACTTACATGTGGAGAACAGCTTGGTGGTTGCCAGAGGTGGGGGTTGGAGTGGGCAAAATATGCGAAGGGAGTCAAAAGGTACAAAATTCCAGTTTTAAAATAAATAAGTCATGAGGATGTAATGTATAGCAGGGCAACTATAGTTAATAATACTGTATTGCATATTTGGAAGTTGCTAATAGAGTAGATCTTAGGAGTTCCCATCACAAGAAAAGAATTCTATAACTACGAGTGGTGATGGATGTGAGTTAATTAGACTTATTGTGATCATTTCACAACATATACAAATATCAAATCATAATGTTGTACACCTGAAGCTAAAATAATGTATTTCAATTATATCTTAATTTTTTAAAATGATACATAGGCACTATTAATTATATAACTACCAAAAGAACCATTAGTTAAAACTGCTTCTGTCTTTTTTTTTTAAAGATTTTATTTATTTATTTGAGAGAGAGAATGAGAGAGAGAGCATGAGAGGGGGCTGGGTCAGAGGGAGAAGCAGACTCCCTGCCGAGCAGGGAGCCTGATGCGGGACTCGATCCCAGGACTCCAGGATCATGACCTGAGCCGAAGGCAGTTGCTTAACCAACTGAGCCACCCAGGCACCCAAAACTGCTTCTGTCTTCCTGAAATAGATACAGATGATTT